TATATTATATTGATATTGTGTGCAATATCTACATCATCATAAAGATCCAACTATGAATTATCGATGTTGCGATTAATTTTTGTTAGAAAATTTTTTCGTTATCTTCCTACTTAATTGACATTTGTTACGTTCTTCGTTGACTTCCTTTAATATGCATATAACGCTTACGCATACTCTTATATTTATTAAGATTAAGAGATTTATTTAATTTTCCGCTTCATAAAATGACTTGAATTGAATTAAATAAATATCTGGAATTAAAACAAATAAAAAAAAAAAAAAATAATTTATGGTTTTTGCATTTTGTACAAACGAAGAAAGAAAAAAACGAAAAGCGCAAATGAATACGCGAGATATACTTATATATATATATATATATATATGTGATATACTTACAAGTTTACAAGCATAAGTTTTCGAAATAATTTAGTATGTAAACAAAAGACTTAAGTAACAAACCTGCTTACAAATATAAACAATCTATTGCGTCGAATTCAGTCAGACTCTGACTAATCCTTGTAATCATCGTCGCTACTATTGCCACAATAATGAATGCAATATTTCAAATCAAAATCGAAACTGTTACTATATTGTTGAGAACGCTGTGTATGTGTGTATATGTGATTTTTTTTTATTTTACTCATTAGCACACGTTTATGTGTCATATAATAATTGAAATAAATCTCAGGTTTTCTTCTTCTTTTTCTTTCTTTTCATATATTGCACTGACTTGACTTGACAGTAAGACAAGTATTTGTTTTTGTTCTCAATATTAAGTACAAGGTAAACCTCAAGAATTAAACGATTTTTTATTAAAATTTTATACGCTTATTAATCGTTGGAAAGAGAGAGAATTTTTCCCCTTTTTTTTTCTTCTTTGTTTTGTTTTTTAAGAAAAATATCATAAAAATGGCAAAGAAGAAAAAAATTGCAAAAATTTAAAAGCTTATCTTATCTTATTTTTAAGTCAGTCTGAATTGAAATTAAACTTGAACTTAAAGTCGAGCGTTCATGTTGAAAAAGGTTAATTGTTTTTTTTTTTTTTTTTTTTTATATTTCGTTTGGCTTATGAATGAGTTGAATTTGTATATAAAAGAGAACTAGCTATCGAGGAGAAGAAAAATAGAAAACAAAAAAAAAATTATTAAATTAATTAAAACACATTCTTGAAATGTTTACAAAAAGCTCTTGCATGCATAGCGCAAAGATTCGGCAAAAAAAAATCGAAATCAGAAAATATCACAAATTCCGGATATTCGAAATGTTACGCAATACATTTGTAACAGTTGAGACGTTACTTGAGCAATGGTTAATTGAATTCTTAAACCTATTGAATGGATGAGAATACATTTTTAAACGTAAGCCATCTATCTGTCTTTCCTCTATCATTTCAAAGTCTCCTTCGAACATGAGTATACAGAAATAAAACGTGAAATCTATACATGTAAGTAATATGTTCTCAGTTTTAATTTCACATATCCAAACTGAAAACTGGCGTAATTTATCCACGAAAATGCTTGCAATAGGTGAAAAAAAAGTGAAAGGCTAACTGACGGACAGCAAGGTCAATAATGTAATGTAAAAATGATTGTTGATAACTTGCAGATTATGACAAATGTGCATCACAGTTCGCAAATATTATACGAATATTTGTGCAGGATGAAGAAGAAGAGATCCGATAGAAAAATGGCTTCACTCGATCAGCTGGTACATCTGGCTGGCAAGAGAACGTTACAAAATTAAATTACAACTCCGCACTTTGAGGCGAATGTGATTTTTTTTTTTTTTTTTTTTGCTTTTATTGCTTGCTACAACGTAATTTAAGCTCTCGCTTTAAGGTAATATTGTAATAATCAAATATTGCACGCAGTAAACATTTTATGGAAATTATTCATACATGTCATATAAATTTTATGGTCTGCTGCGTAAGTCTTTTGTTTTAATTCATTCGCAACATACACAAACAAACATAAGTGATTAAGCACATTAACTTAGTGATTTGCTTTTGCGTATAGTAATTGTCTTCTTGTTTGTAAAAGGAAAACAGGAAAACAATTTTATGTATGTTTACTCTATATAGCACCATGTCATGTAGCGTTTTAACTATCAAGAAGTAAGAAAATTTACGTTCAATTTGGAGCGAAAACCTTGAAAAGTTCCCTCCTCCTTCGTTGCGGATGCAAGAGGCAAAAACGATAACCAATTTTATTTAGTCTTTCGATTAGTACATAAGTCATATTTTATTAATAAAAATATTTTCAAATTTGCAGATTATTGCGAGTTTTCACACTTGACAGCACTTATGGCACAAGGATAGATAATGCTTATGCGGATAGACGCTTAGAGTTGCCTGAGAGGAACTTGAAGTAGAAGAATAACTTTCTGAATTGCTCTAAATTTGTCTGTCCGTGTATTTGATTGTCGTGTTTTCTTTTTTTTTTCGTATTCAATCTACAGGCTGACATATTTTCGCCCAAGCATTAAGGCTGTTAAAAATGGTTCAATTCGGACCACTTTTTCAATTACTTTCTATATAAAGGCTTATTTCGAAAAGTTGTTGTTGTTGTTGTGAAAAGTGTATAAAGCTTTATGAATAATTGTATTAAGCAAAGTGGATTTGAATATCTAATGGCTTAAATGGGCATGGCTACATAGACTACATCGTTTTTACGATTAACTAGCACGACTACATTTTCAGATCCGTGAGTTTTCCATTTTTCGAATTTAATTTTTGAAATTTAATTTCAATAGTTTTCAGAGTCCCGATCTAAGTGAACTGTGAATTGCATAATTCAAAAATAAAATCTTTTCATCTTATTTGGGCAAAGGAATACTAAAATTCGTTTCAAAAGTTTAATGAAACTGACATTTAAAAAAGGTATTAATTGAAACAAGCAAGAAATTTATAGTCGACTATGACCGAGACTTTAATTCCCGCCACGTCTAGCCTCAAAGAAATTAAAAACAATCTAAATATTACATACCCTATAATATTGATGTGGGCGTGACTGATTTCCCTTATTTTTGTAGAATAGAGGTCATCTATCGTTCATGAGTAATGAGTGAAAAACACGGAAAGCGAAGGTGTCCGCAGTTTATGTTGCATTATAGGCAAGCACTGCGATCGGCCTGGGCCATATTCGAAGCTTTTTTCGGCTCTTTTCGTTTTGCGGAAGTATGTTTATCACATATATGCTACTTAGCACGGTAGACGGCCATATGGACAGATGGACGGACGGGCAAACGAGCCAAGAACGAATATGTTTTATGAGATTTTCTTGTAGCTGGCTTCTGGGCGTTATAAAGATTTTGCAAAAAAAATGGAATTTCTGATGGACGTGGGTGATTTTCCCTCCTTCTTTATATACACAATATAGGAACGCACATAGGATATACATGAAAATTTTTATACGTTCGTCTGCTGTACTTTTTTTGTGAGTTGAAACATAGAAGTGATCTCCGTTTACTGGTGGTACTGTCGGTGAATCCTCCTTAATACTAAGCAGCATAGAAGTATTTTCAATGAGTTTGCCAAAATTTGACATTACAAGAGACAGACGGACAAATGGACGTACGTGAATCGATTCATAATTCGATGTTGATCAAATAAATACATACATACATGCAGTAGATTTACGAAATATCGCGAAACAATTTCAAATATTTCATTGCTGAAAGTTTCACTAGAAGCGAAACGATGCAGTTTTTTTGCCAAGGAAAGCAATGGTTGGATTATCATTCGATGTCGACTAATCGACTATATATCGTGTGGTTTAACATCATTGGAATATTGTATTAAGATCTTTTTTGACTTCAAATATAACGAATGTATTAAGAAATTGCAAACAAACTGCGGCATTCTATTATCAGCATAAAAATTTCGTGCGTTATGTAAGAAACGCCAATGCCAGCTTGTTTTGGAATATCTTTTGTTTTTTCCTAAAAATGTTTAAAAGTTTTTTTCTTATACTTATCCTTACGTAAAATCCATTTTAAAATTCTTGAGCGAATTTATTGCGTTGTTATGTGAAACGTCTTCGGTCGATCACAGTTTACAGTTGTCAGACATTTTAGACAATTCCATGAATGGAAGACGGGTACATTTTTGCTTTCATTATGTGCGATATAAAATTTTCCTATGCATTATTCAATTGTAGGATAGAATGTTGGCGTCATAGGCAACATGTTATTGAACTTATTACTGAACGCCCATGCAACGGATAACATTTCTGTTTGCTATTCTTCGACCGTTTTCGCATGTTACTATTATAATATATGCTAAGCCGCACATTCCATTCAAAAACGTGATATATATGCCTTACGCCTTGGCAAGAATTTAATCGAATCATGAAATTCGTATCGTTCATACCGCATGCCGGACTCCGCGTTCCCATAAACGCTCTTAAATAATTAAATTGAAACTGGAACCGTTCAGATTACTAATGTAAGAAGCAATCTACGTGACAAAAGCTTTTGATTTATTCATTTATTTTTTCTACTAGTTTTCGTTTATTTATATATTATATATACTTATGAACAATAATAAGTCAAGGAAAAAATTCGTGGACTTTATCAAAAACCATATCAGAATAAGGGGCGAAAAAGATCATAGAACAAGATGGATGACACGGTACAAATGGGGGTAAAATCTGGATTGACACCTTGTAAGTCAATGCTTTACGTTTAGAGGTTTTGAAAAGGAGTCATGCTGCAATTGCTGCTAGGCGATCGATTCCACCCTTTACTCTCACCACTAGTGTGATTAATACGTGCCATTGAGATAAGGACCCCAGAAATGATCAATAGCAGAGGTATTGTCTTTCATGGCGACAATGTCAGAGTACACACACTTTGAATGAATTGCCGAAAAGCCAAGAAAGTTTAACTGAAAAGTTTCAATGCATCCACCGGGATGCCTGTGCAAATAGTTCAGATCAGCCTTTCGCCCAGAAATCCCAGAAATTCTTCAATGATGATAAGATGGCAAAAGGTTACCGATCGAAGCGGCCTATAATTGATTTAATATTTTTAACTTATTATTATCATTAATTTCTCCAGAGAAATAAATTCGAAGACTAAACTCTTAAAGCACTAGCATCTAAGACTTTCATTAAAAACTCTACCGCACTTGAGATTCGAACCCACGACGATTGAGTTGCTAGTCGAGATTCCTCGCCTTCGGCCACTTAGGCAGATATTTTAAACTCAAATTGTAAGAAAAATGGTGAAAATGTTACGAACTTTTCAATTG